ATAAAATATATCTTGAGATATGTAAGGTAGACATACAAATTTATTGAATAAAGTATAAAGTTTTTCTTTTCCAAAGTTGGGTTGCATAAAGTGGAAATTAAAGTGACTAAAAAATGAATACAACATATGAAAATAGATCATCAAGAAAGTGTTGTTCACTACTATACTCTAGCATTGAGTTCATGTTAATAAGATTGAGTGATATCTCTCTCTCTCTCTCTCTCTCTCTCTCTCTCTCTCTTTATACATGTAGTTATTACTATCTTTCGATATCATAAAATTTTATTGAAGAGAACGGTGTTTGTAGTAGTCTCAAGACAGTTTTGTTTTTAATTAACCCATAAGTCTTCAGTTTGTCCTAGACTATTAGTTGTTTTTAAGAAAAATTGTATTTCAAAACTATGAATTTAAATAATATAATCCAAGTGCGGAATTGTTTGATTTTTTGAATAATTAAAATGTGGAACCATTATTTAATTTATATTTGTCTTATATCAAAATTATGCTAAATTAATTTGATCTTGATAAAAAAAACAATATTATATAGTTCATAATATGATCTAATAAAATGAATTATGATAAGTGGAGTAAGAATTCATTATATAAAAGTAAGGTTAGATCTCTCTTCATGTTTACAAAAAATATTAAAAATAAATACTTTCTCCTAATATTCATTTTTATACCTTTGCTCACTTAAGCCGAATTTGAGGAAAAGGAAAAGGTAGGGATGTGCCGAGTATGAAGACGAGGCTTGAGACCAAGAAACAAATTTTGAGTTCTTCAAAGATCTCTTAATTCTATGAAGCAAAAAAAGCAAGCCAAATGTGAGGAAAAAGAAAAAGGCAGGCATGTGCCGAGTATGAAAACGAGGCTTGAGACCAAAAAAGATATTTTAAAGAGGAAATTGTGAAAAATAACTCTCTTGAGAAGGTGATTTCAGAAATAGCTTACGATATACAATTAACTATATTTACCTAATTTTGGCATGAGTTGACAAAATACCTTTGAATACATTTCTGACAAATTAATCTCCCAACATCTCCCTCCCATCATATAGAAAAATTAATGCTCAACTATCTCAACTCCCTCAACTCTGTCAACTCTCTAAGCTTTCTCAGCTCTGTCAAATCTCTCTTGCCATCCAGCTATTTATTGAGCACTATCGTCATCGTCCTGTGATTTATCTCTCGGCACCTCAATATATCGTCGTTCGTATACAGACCCTAAAGCAGAAATGACATTGAGGTATATTATTGGGTTTATTGATGTTTTTCACAAAATCACAAAGTCAATGGAAAACTATTAATTTCTTGAATTTTGTGTCTAAATTAGATTATTGCCCAAAGTTGTTACACGTCATGCATGTAACATCTCTAATGCAAATGACTTGTAAAAAGTATATTGAAAGGGCTTGCTTTTAATAACATGTTTTAGTACATGATATGTAATAAACTTTGTCTGTACATGACATGTAGTAAATATGGCGTGTAGCAAAATCATCAAACATGGCATGTAGAAAGTTTTGTTGAAGATGGCGTGTAAAAATATTTCTTTTTGAAAATGGCTTATAGCATATTGTTTTTGAACATGGCAAGTAGAAAAGTGTTATGCACATGGTGGGTAGCAAAATTGTTATTCACATGGCTTGTAGCAAAATCATTGCATATGGCATATAGCAAAATCATTGAACACGCCGTGTAGAATTTTTTTTTTTTTAAGATGGCCATGTAGAAATATTTCTGTTGAACATGTCTTGTAGCATACTGTTCTTGAACATGGAGGGTAGCAACATTGTCATGCATATGGCAGGTAGCAAATTGTTATGCACATCATGTGTAAAATATTGTCAAAACGATGTGTAACATTTTTTTAAACATGGTGTGTAATAATTTTTTTTGAATATGGCGTGTAACAAAATTTGTTCAACATGATGTATAACATGTTTTCAATAAGGAGTGTAGCAAAATTTTAGAACATGGTATGTAATGTGTGAATTAACTAGTTGATAGTGAATTGTGTGAGTAGTAAAATTGAGTCGCGTTATTAATTATTATGAAATCACGTTAGTGGTAAATATGGAGTCACGTTACTAGTTATTATGGAATCATATGACTGATTGATATGAAATCACATGAGTAGTAAATATGGAGTCATGTTACTAGTTATTATAAAATCACATTACTAGTTAATATGAAATCGCGTGAGTAGTAAATATGGAGTCGCATTACTAGTTATTATAAAATCGTGTGAGTAATTATTATGGAATTGCTTTACTAGTTGATATGAAATCGTGTGACTTTTTTATATGAGATTGCATGACTCACTTATTGTGTGCCATGCTTTTTGAAGCAAGGCAAGCAAATTATTATGGACAATATCAAACCACAACCCAACCCCAAGTACCATTATAACATAATATCTAGTTGAATACCCTAAACCCTTAACCAAAAGTATGAGTAAACACATGAAAGTTAAACCACATGTTGAGCAAATTTAAAAAAATATATATATCACAAATTGTTTAGCAAAAAAATTACAGTTTTCCTAATCTAGTTAACTCACAACTCATAAAATATGAATCTTCATCTACTATGCTTGACTCAACCAGAACCAATGAGAACTGACTTCTTTTTTCTCTTAGGTTCATGTCGAATAAACTCATCTCAAGACTGTTTCTTTTGACTGCACTTCTGCTGCCCGATCAGCTATATCTTTTCTTTACATTAGAAGATTCTCAACATTTTGTATCCTCAATTCCAATGTCTGCAATTTATCAGTTTGGTTACTGAGTTTTTCATCATTCTTCACAAGCATATTATACATCACATCATTCGAAATAGGATCTAAAATAACTCTAGATAGACCATTAGATAGAGTATCATGGGTGAAATGAACTGTGTTGCCTTCGATAGAGTTGAATGACTCATCAACACTCATCTCATATCCCCTTTTCAGGAGTCATCCAATAGAGAGATTACAAGGCCTACGACCAGTCTAATCAGCTAGATATCTATTGCTCTAGATTCTTTTCTTTTTAACAAGAGCAGATATAATGTTTCCGTGTGGTAAGGTCGTCTCATCCTGTAGGGTGACTCCTCTCATTCTAATGATCACATATTGTGCAATATTTACACCAAACTGGGTTTCAATTGATTCCATCATCCACAAATCCTAAGCATTAACATGTTTTAAACCACTGATCATTCCTTATACTATGGACACCAAAAAATTATGTACTAGCTTAGCTGTTACAGAATACAAATGACAAGTAGAACATGAATTTGTCATGTATGGTTCTGTTCTTCCTATCACGTTGGCCCATATGTCGGACGGCTTATAAAATAGGGGAACTCTATATTATCCCTCTCTGTACTCCATTTTCAAGAGTTCCCAATATCAAAGTCAGTCACTATAAACTCTATTCCTTTCAAAAACACGTTCAAAACATAAAGGTTAAAATCACTAGGATTTTCAAATTCATTTTCACTCCGTCATATGCTAGAGTAAAATTCCCTAACAAGAGTCAGGCTATAATCCATATTTAGAAAGGTACTTAGACCCTTAAGTTTACCAATGTCCAAAAGCGTATTTAAGTCATGCTTAAGGTTTATGTATTCATTCAAGCTTTCCCAATCTACCACTTTCTCGCACGATATGATGGCATGTTCATTGTTCCTAAATTGTGAGGACAAGGATGGACCGTTACCTAGTTCAATAGAAAAACCAATTAATGCGGCGGGCAGTTCAAGAGCTAGTTTCCATTTCTTTTTTAAGCGTAGACTAGAGTATTCATCATCACTTATAATTTTGTCACCATAGTCACAGACATTGGGTGTGCGAGAAAATGTGGCCATTGCTTAAGATAATGCAAGAAGGTTTAGGTTTAGGGGTTGAATTTACAACTAGAGATAGGTATTATCTCTAAACTCTGTCAAACTCAAGTTTAAATAGTATTATTCAATGCAAATGTCAATGGCAAGTTGGAAACAATCTTTCTATCAATTGACACCTGAACCTATTTTTAATATTTTTTCCTAAGTGGTAATTGCATAAATTGTGATGCGTGTCTTCTTACATTTTTTTAACTGCATTCTTAATGCCAAGATGCTAATCAGAAATGAATATTACATTTTCCGGACAACCAATCACACGACGCAATTGGTTGAGAAATCACGACCAAGACTCTTCGTCCTCCACGTGGCTAATGCCAAATGCAACTAAATATATCTATTCGTTCGCATCTTTACATACCACAACAAACAGAATACCCTTGAATCTGCCTTTAGATGTGTGGCATTGATTGCAACTACAGGTCGCATTAAAACACAAAACCCTAGATATATGACCCGAACACCCAAAAATAATATTTAAATCGTTGTTCCCCATCCGTAGTGACAGCCATGATAATGCCAAGATTTTCACATTCTAACATATAGAAATATGAGGAGAGGAGTTGAAATGACTCTTCTAAGGGACCTAACACAAGACTCTCTACATACTCCTTTGCTTGCCAAGCCTTACCATATAGGCATTGCAATCCTTACTTGCGATTCATCTTTTCTATTATTTCCTTAGGTCTCAATGTGGTTACATACTTTTCCTTGTAGCCTAGTGGAGATAAGCTCACCAATTAACCTCACGTTCACAATTCGGTACCTACATTATAAACCATCAATAGTACACGTGTGTACTTTCTGCAACATCTGAACTTGCCAATATTCTTCCTCAAGCAACTTTGTTGCACGCAAAGCAAACTTGCATGCCATCTTCTTGCAACCAACCTCAAAACAATTATGACATGACTTTTTAACTCTAATATCAAAAAGCTCTTTTAATGTCAACATGCTCAAAGCTTGTTTCAATTCAGCCTTCAATGGAAACACTTTTTCTTTATATAAGTGGTCGTCTATTGATCTGGATTCTTCAGTCACAACTATTTGAAAGGATATCATGTCTACCTCGGGAATAATTCATTGACGAGATACCCTTGTATTTGCCCTCTACTGATCATTGTCATCTAGAGAACGAATGCCATTTTCAAGTGCAATGAGGTTGTCATAAATAGGGTCGACACCCTCAACATCTTCTACTTCAATAGTTATGGCATGGTTATCGCATTGAACCTCTTTTGACACAACAGTTGTGGCATGTCCTATACTGCCATCTGTATGATTGCAATCTAGAATGTCATTGTACTCACCCTTGTCGTCCTCTATACAGTCATCATGTTTGCCAGTGTAATCATCTTCACAGTCATCATGCAACTCATCGTTCCAATCAGCCATACCTTCCTCTTCAACATCATATTCAATTTGATCAGATGCATCGTCATCACTCATAACCATCACAGTGTCGTTTGTGAATGACAACGAACCCACTACATTTTCAAGCCATTATTGATTTGTTGCAAAGTACCAAATATTTCATTTGATACACATTCCGATTGGAATTGTGTAGACATCATTTGCAGACACCTCATGTGTGTACTGGGCTACTCAAACTCATAAGGATACATCAAACGTAATTGCTATGGTTATTTGTTAAGAAATGCATGGTGTGGTATATTAGAATAATTAGCATTCTATTGTAGGTGATTACTGTGTTGAATACCATGTTCATGTGAAATATCGTTTACATTTCGTGCCTTAACTGTCACAAACACAACAATTGCCCTCTCATCTTGCAGAATACTTGCTACATCTTCATCATCCTTGATAATTACGTGTGAAACCCCTGCGGCATGACTAAGCAATGCATGTAGCTCGATTTCATTATTATGTGAGTTGACCTTAGCAACCTCTTCAACCAGCTTCATTAAACCCGAATATGACAAATCACTCCCAACACCTCATTCATGTCTCACCACCTTTGTAAGTGTCATGGACTCAATGACCACTGTATGTAATCATAAGCTTCACATTTGGTAGGCCACTGAAATTTAATAGAAAATAAATATCACAATCAGTCAATTTATTAAACATTACCCCTCAATGCATAAAAATCATTTACACAATGCCTAAATCATGGAATAACATAAAGTTAATATCACAATGTCTAATACACATTCACACAATACCTATAAACTAGTGAACAAAAGCCTCAAAATAAGATATGAATTGCACAAGTCACAAACTGTCAGTCTCGTAATACCTAATAATAAGTCACTCAATGCCTAATCCAGTCACATTATACCAACATAACCAGTCACATACTAGCCCAATGTCACGTAATACATAATAACAAGTCTCACAATACATAAATATTAGTCATGCAATGCATCAAAAGTAGTCAAGAAATATCTTGACACAAGATATGCATTGCACAATTCACGCAGCACCTATAACCTAGTCTTGTAATGACTAACAATAAGTCACTCGATGCCTAATATCTACTCACATTATGCCAATATAACCAGTCACATACTGGCCCAATATCACGCAATACATAACAACAAGTCACGATATCCATTCAAACCAGTCATGCAATATCTCAATAGAAGATATGCATTGCACAATTCACATAGTGCCTATAACCTAGTCTCACAATACCTAATAATAGGTCACTCAATGCCTAATATCCATTCACGTTATGCCAACATAAATCACATACTAGCCCAACGTCATGCAATACATAACAACAAGTCACGATATACATACAAACCAATCACACAATGTCTGAATAGAATATATGCATTGCACAATTCATGTAGTGCCTATAACTCAGTCTCGCAATACCTAATAATAGGTCACACAATGCCTAACATCCATTCACGTTTGCTTCTCTTATATAAATAAAAATTAAGAAATTAGGATAAGTAACCAAGTTATTCAGCATACTATAAATTAAACACAGTAACTCATTTTATGGAAAATATGTGATCAATCAATATTTTTATTTTATTCATTAGCCAAAAAAAAACAGATGATACACCATATGAACCATAGTTCATTTCTTCCTAATCTCACCTACTATTTCATAAATTTCGACTAAAATCTTGTTATTGCGCAGAATTTTTATCTTAAGGACTTCTGTCCTAACCATCAACTTATCCATCAACCCACGCATGTCTTTTTTCATGTTCTGAATTTGGTCCATCAACTTAACCAAATATGCTACAACATTGTCGGGGATATCCTCTTCAGCAGCAAACTCCTTCCCATTTTCGACTCTGGAATGTTTGGATGCCATTAGAATTATGAGATTTTCCTTGAGATAATTTTGATTAAAATGGATAATGGTTCTTTTTATTTATAGGCATGAATGTTGACTATTAGCAAGGTGTTCAATGGTTTTAGGCTTGTTTTCTGATGAATATGGTTAGTTCGTAAATTAATGCATTAACTGCTTTAAAAAGAATTTCAAAGTTCTGTGTCCGTCGAATCTGGATAGTTTTCTGCACCGATATAAGTGGGATTAAAAAGGCTGAGTTGGTTATTAAGCATTCATAATTCTCTTCTAATTTTATAAAATTTGTTATTAAGGGGGTTGAATTAGTAGATAATCAACTTCAGCTTTAGGTAGATAAAGCAACACAATTACTACAAACAAGTTACACAATACTTACAAAACAAGTCACGCAATGCACAACTCACGCAATTCCTAAAATCTACTCTCGCATTACCTCTTATCTAGTTCCACATTATCTAATATTCACTCGCGCCTTGAGTGTCCTCTGTGACAAAAAGGGATTGATTATTGGATTGTTCTTTGGACCTCTCAAGATTCAAAACTCAAATTCGCTAGGCTAATGGCCATAAGATAAGCTTTGAAGCTTTTTGCCTCCCTGCCTTGGGTGAATTCTTAGAGTTTGATCATAGAATCGGATTTCAATGTGGCTTTGGCATGGGTCAGTGAGCAACTTAAACATTGAATTATTGGAGCATTTTTTATGATATTTAAATGCTCACAAAAACGATTGTCGATGTTTCTTTCATGCTCTCATCGCGAGAGGAAAACTCCCTTGCCGATTCACTTGCAAAATTTAGGATGGAAAGGATTGATCTGTTCTGTGCATGATGATGAGTATATAGTGAGGTGGATGACTGAATGATTTTCCCTGTTCTGGCAAC